CATTACTTGTAGGTCAGGAAATATTAGCCAAACGTAAAGAATATGAGATACGCTTGCATACAAGTAGTAAGTAGGCATGGCACTCAAGACGGTTGGTCTGCACCTTGAATATCAAGTTGTGCTCGATATAACATTGCCCCTTTCCAAATTGTGAAAGTAAAATTGGCGTCACCTGTACGCAAAATGCCTAATTAGCCTGATTCCTCAGCTTGCTCTTTAATATTCAAAGAAATTGAATTACAGGTTGTGGAAAAATAAGCGCTGCTAGGCACAATTAAGTATAACTACTATTTAATGCGCATATTTGGATATATTCTCCTGTTTTGGTAATTTTCTCAACTTGCTGTAGCTTCAAGAAATCAACAAGTGGCACGAAGAATGTCGTCGAAAGGCCCACATTTCCAGTGTAAATTAACAGATGCTCTTATTTCAATCCATCATTTAGAATTTCGGCCACATCCCCGAAAATAGTATAAAGCGCTCTGTATATCAGGCTGCGTATGAGGCTTTTATTCTTGACCTATGTGCTTTGATACGACGCATATCCTGCCACCGGTTATGCAATGAGTCAAACTGATACTGCTTTCCTTGGTAGAAACTGAGCATCCGCCTGCTGGTCGTGCCTATAAAAATTAAAAATTTGCTTACTGTATTAAAAACGTTGAGGGAAAAAATGATTTATAAAGCGCCTACTCACGTTCATTGAAGTGGCAACGGATAACCCCAGAATTCTCTGCCAATGTGACACTTCCTATTTCTAATCCTGATTTTGGACACTTTGCCATGTTTACTTCCAGAGGTGTTTATATTGGCCATTCGAAATAACGATATTTAATTTTACATTATTAATACAAATGAGGAAGAAATTTACTTATGCAATTTAGATATAGATCAAGTTTTAATCAAGCAGTCAATCCAGTAGTTAAAGCGATGTCAAGAAGCTTATCACGATTTGTAATCGTTTAGTACCTACGGCACTTTTGAGGAAGCGAAAAATCACAAAAGACGATGGATCGTCTAATGTTGTAACAAAACCAGAACCCTGTAGAAGTGCATTTGCTCTAATCAAAAGAGGCGGACGGGCATTTTAAAGTCATCTTACGGGTCTGCATACAAATCCTCAGGTCACTTTGTAGGCGAAGTTGGATTTACACAATTACACAATTGAATGCATCAACTTTTCCAAAGAATTTGTTATGTATCATTTAATATCCATTACAAATTCGGCCAGGCCCACTTATTATCTTTTGTAAGTGTATCTCATGTCCTTTACTTTCGATTGATGCACATAATTAACAAGAATTTTGTATGTATGGCAAGGAATTTCTCTTCTAGTATTCCAACGGTGCCACTATCGTAAGTTGGTTTGCATTTAATCACATCATCCATGTTTAGGAATACAGCTGAAGTGCAAATGTTGCCATTTACTACACACTTGAGGAGAGTTGGCGATATTTGCAGAATCCGATTTAAGAATGTATGTTGTAAACGTTTCGCGAATTGGCAGTATCAGTTGTGACACTTTTAGTTCATATGAAAGAAAAACACCTTTCATCACTCTTTTTGACTGGACTTAAGATTGTGAGGAAAGATTTGAAATGACAGCAATTTCATGTTATCGTTTAGTACTCTCGGTACTCCTAGGGAAGTAAAAATTACAAAAGATGAAGGGCCTCCTGGTGTTTCAACAACCTGAGATCCCTATGAAAGTGCTTCTGTTCCTATCAAGAAAGGCAAACATGCATTCGAATATCTTCCCACTCCTACTCATGCATAATCCTAAATCGTTTTGTAAGCAAAGTTGGCCTTAATACCAGGAAGGTCTCATATCTTTGAACTGAGTTACTACAGAGAAATTGCCGAAAGGGATTTTGAAACCCATACAAGCACTTTTACGCTGGAGAATGACATATTTTAATGTGTAAAAAATGTGGGGTATAATGCCAAAACAGGCTTTCTATTTCACGTTCCGTCAACTTAGGTGCTTTAATTTATAGAACAAGGGAGATCTTCTCTATTCTCATGGCATTTATTAAAATACATTAAATGGCCCCAGCTTCTGTTTGGTGCACCCCTTCTCTCTTACACATTATGACGTGTGCTTACAAATCATGCGACATCTCTCAAAACGTTAAACTATTTATAAAACTAATAAAGCCCCGCCAGTATATGCTCGTATTATGGGTCGGACATTTTGTCTGAAACTGCCGGAAAGCAACTTGGTTAAATCTTTAAGCTCACACAAATTTGTTTACATATTAGTCCATCTTACAGTTCACTTATCGCTCCAGTATCTTTCTCCTTCTAGTAAATTTTTCCCCTTCTGTTTATTTCTAACCACTCCTTCAGCAGATTAGTTCATCACACTTGGATCAATGGATGTGATACTTAAGGAAAAATGTCATGATTTTGGGTAAAGCAAAAGAAAAAATGGTAACCAAAACGCTTACTTAGCTGCTAAACTTGCAGTGCTTTGTTCTTGGCATCTTAATATACACTGTTAAGATATTGAAGCTTAACATCAATACCAACGTGATGATCGAGTGCATTTGGTGCTTCAAGGAATGCAAATATTAGAGAGGTGTAAGAAAGTGTTGAGTAAGATAATAATTCGAAAGCTTTAGAATATCGAATAAAGTCTGAATGCGAAATGTATTTAAAGTAAACTGAAGTGCCAGACAAGGCTTTAATGTTAAATTAAAATCGAAAATTCGCCATAAATTCGGTTACTGTGTTATTTGTTACTTATAAATTAAAACGAGCAAGACGTTTCAAAAGCCCGCGGGATAGGGAGATAGATGGGTGAGAGAACGAAACAGTAGTGTGGGACAGAATCACTAATTTTTCACTGGATGTGTCGTCACTACTAAGGCAAATTAAAAGCACAAATTTTCCGAAATATCCCACATAGTGAAATGGATATCTAGGACCTTACTTTATAAAACTGCGAACTGGTTTAAGTAAAAACTTGGGCAACGAGACAATTTTTTAGAGAAACATCTGGATGTAGTAATTTGCTTACGATATAATCAACATCTTCACTATCAATGAGCAATCTGATCGGCGTTTTCCTGTCATTTCAAAGCATAAAGCGTATGCCTTATGATAATTAAACAAATCTACACTCTTGTAGTTTGTTAATTTGATCTTACAATTTTTTTGTTTTTCACAGCCACACTAGTTAGTAGATCACTCATCTTATTGGGCATGCGTCAATCGCACTGCCTTAGTCTGGCCGCTGGGGTGGACACTGAATTAACCAAGTAAACAAAAGCTCCTCACTTGCCTGGCGCATTTAACTAAATGGCAACTTTCCTAAATTTGACAATCTGTATAACAGTGAGGCAGATTCATTCATCTAAGTTGACGCCCTACACATAAGAACGGCACTCATTTAGGTCAAATGCCATCCAAAATACCAATTTCTTGCCACACACTCTACTGGGCAAAGAAAACTTCAGCTAAGACAACTAGAGAAAAATCATTTTGATAGAGACGGAGCTACGAGTATGTCAGCTTTGATGGCTGACCATGAGTGCTTACTGTTTACCTAAATTAGCAGTCTCGGAAACCACACTAAACACTTTATTAGGGGAACCAGTGAGGCCGATATTAATAAGAAACCTTAAGTAAGACTTTTCTTTTTTGGGCCTTGATGCAAATTTAAAGATTCGTACGAAACATAATTAAAGCTGTGACGATCGTGTTCTCGTATTTTGAGCTCCATTAGGACTTTTTGTGTTGCCTATAGATAGTGCAGACGCACATTGACGTTTTCAATAAATTGTTTTAAAATGATGGCCAGAATGAAAAGACTAGATATCACAAACTAGATAAACCAGCGACTTCTCGAAAGAGAATCTGAGATTGAGGCCTTGAAAGGGTTGCATGCCTTCTTTGGATTACAAGTGCATTCTGAGGCCTTCATACTGGTTTATGAGGACAGCCGGTGAAACAATCATCTCGCTAAGGACATCCTTGGAGTAACTGCCCTCATCTAACTCTCTTCTGCACTTTCTGGTTGCGTCTACACGAAGGATTAGGTATGTAAACACAAGCCCTCATTTTCACAAACATGTAAAATTAGTGATCTCTCTGGGTCACAGGCGCATTCTTAAAAACGGCAGGGCGATGAAACGTGTCAACCAAGTTAAAAGACCATGCAATTTCATGCTTTAAATTTAATGTACCATTTAATGTTGATTTACTGATATACATACATGATTTTCTTTTGGTGACAGATGGCTATTGCACGGATAATTCATTTGGTGCAAAATTAGTCGGGACAGAGCATTACGCTCATTAATTCTCCTATCACCATAACCTTTTATAAAGACAAAAAATAAAGTTCAACAGGAACAACACAAACTAGTAGCGTTTCTTAATCAAAAGAGAATCATTCAGAACGTTGGTCTGCGTATCCTTGAACATTGTAAGCCTTTGCTTTCCTTGTGGGAAGTTTTTTGTCATATTTGCGATATTTTATGCATCGACTGCCAGCACACAAGTATCCGCTTGGACAAGCGGTGCAATTGGCTAGAAAGGTATGCGATTTTTGCTGTAGCAATCCCTCCTAAAAGAGTAAAGAACATATTAAAACATCAAAGCAGTGTTTGCGATTAGCAATAGTAGACAAATCTAATTTGCTTAGACTTTTGTTAACGGGCAATCGCACTACTGATTGCTTCGATTAGGTGTAAGGCCATCACGCCACCGCATGTGATGAACCAGTCTTTCGCATTTTTCCAAACAAACTGCTCAATGGCAATGCAGCGCTAGCGAAACCCTATGCATGATGCCACCTCACATTTGCTTGTTCGGAGGTTTGGTATACGTACCTAAAGGACTTTTTTCCAAAGTTCCTTATGGCGTGTTAGTAAAATTGAAGAAAATTTATAAGTCGCGTTTCTAATTAAATGGTTTTAAATGCCAACACAAATTCTGCATTTGTTGCCCACTAAATGTCACAGCT